CAAAACATAAAAAAAAGACCCGTCTAAATTATACATGAATGGAACACTTCTCCAGACCACAACCTCTGCAAAATTTTTATGATTAACTTTCGACCCCCACCCCGACTTTTAGAATCCCATGTTTGGATTGGGGGGGGGGGACACCATAAGGACACCCCCGAGTCCACCTGGCCCTGATAGTTCCAGAACTATGGAAGAAGTTAGCTGGACTTACATACATACACAGCTACAAGCTGAAGTAATATAGGATAAATATTCTTCAGTAACGCCACCCGTAATTTTTAACTGCTGACTTGATAAAAGGCAATGAACCAGTAGTACCCGCTGCCACATAGGCTTTGTTCGTCTAGTCTTTGAATCAAATAACAGGAGTGGCTGTCACTTTTATAACGCTCTCACATTTGAAAGTGAGAAATGACTTCAGCAACATCACGTCTCGAATCCCGGACTATTCGATCCGCAGCAAAACACCCAGGATTCAACGGAGTTATAAATAATGTAAACTTGTGTGAGACTTAAAACAAGTTTGTTGCTTGATCAGTAATTCCAGTTAATGAATCAACTTGTGAGATACAAATATTCTGTTCCATAGATGCTTCGCGAGCATACAGTTGCAGTAAACTTCAATTTAAAAATTAATAGTTCATTTAGTCTATCGCTTGTAGTTGAGCTTTAACAAGGAAATACTAATAAATCATATAGAAGGTAAAGCACGATTCTTTGTTTTGGTTTTTTTTACACAAAAGTAAAGCATTAACTGTGCATAATATTAATAATAATAAACAACTGCAAGCTAATCTAAATCATATTTGAATTACGAATTACTTGGATAACAAATTCAACATGCCATATTTAAATACTGAGCGATAAATGAGGTATCATGAAAACTTGAGCATTGCACAGAAATAATCACATCCTGTAACAAGATGCGTGTCAACAGTGCTGTACTGAAAAGGATGAAACATACAGCTTCCAAAATTTCTTATGCTTGTATCTTGGCATGACTAATGAACTTTCAGAGTGTAAACATCATTTTAAGCACCAATCTGTCTACGTGGATGAGACATTCTAGAATGTTTGGCGCTAATCGTTTGATCGGGCGTTAGGCACGTGGTTTCTGATCAACATAAGTTATTCCTACATAATCAACTCAAAGGGGTCAATTTACAGTGTCTGCGACATGCTTAATTTGGACATTTAAAACTTATCCAGAAATAACTAAGCCTTACGCCACTCATATACAAGTACAGGATCATACAGCACTTAAACGTGAGCATGTCTGTTTTCAGAAACTATTTACGCAAAACTGTAAACACATCAAAGAGGAATCTCCACGGAATGGAGCTTAAAATATACACATTTGTCTGATTTTACGAGGCAACAACACACACACACGTATGTGAGGAGTAAGTTCAATTTTACGAAATAAAATTTGGATTATAGTTTTTCTTTTGCAGCAACGATTTAACCTGTTCTATTACACCTAGCATGTATGTGTACGTGCGCTGACTGCTACTTACACTAATACACAAACAAGAGAAGTCAAACAAAACACCACAGCTCACATTGTGCTAACATTCAAAGCACGAAGAACCAACAACTAAATAAATATTACAACATAAAACAATATATTTTCATCTTATAAAGACACAGCAACATTTGCTATTACTTGAATTATCAAATTTCCTGAAGTAAAGTTTTCTCATTACTTTTACTACAAAAACAGTAATTTGTATTATGCGCCAGCTTACTTTATATTCTAAAAAAATTCTGTATGATGAATGTGCATAATAAACATCGAGTAAGTGAATTACTTTAAGGTATCAAGAGCGATGAAGCATCACAATGAGATGGTAAAACTTGACTCTTCATTCTTGGCTGGTGTGGCTATTAGTTACCCTGCAGGACAGGGAACCCGATGATTCGCGTCTCATTGCTGTGAAATCGAGCTCCACACTTTCAGGCCTTGGGCGCGTTATAAAAGTGACAATCAAATCCCACTATTCGATTATCCTAGCTCAAGAATTGACTGTAGTTGATGTTAACAGGCTGCCTTCACTCTGGTCTATCAGTTCAAAATCAAGGGTAGCTAGCGCAAATATCCCTTCTGCGGCTTTGCACCAATATCCGGACAAATCTTACTTAGCTGACTGTAAGTAGTTCTTTACCTGAAACTTAGGGTGCTCATCGATAGCGACTTATAACACATATGTAATTGAAACAGTATGTTTCAAAAAAATCACAAGACCTGTAATAATACATTATTTCGTTACATTTGCTAATCTATAAAGGTAATTATTGTACAATAATAACAACAAAAAATTACGAGCGTATTTTATTCCAAAACTCCTGTATAAAATATTGTTGAGTCAGCGAGGTCACGTGAC